GTTTTACATAAAGCAGACGTAACCGCATTTCTCGAACTATATCTCAGAAGGCTATCGAAATTTGGGTGAATCAACTTTGGGCTGTGTCTCTGGGCTCCCGCGTCGGCTGAATCTCTCGGCATCTCCACTGGAGGGGCCGTCACACTCCCACACTTGAGGCCGGGAACACCAGGAGTTGATGGATTTGGGAGGCGCAGAAGAGGAGTTCTGTGCTCAGCCCACCTTCCGCCTCCCAGGCTCTTCCGAGGGGCCAGCCATCCCGGCGTCGGAGGTGTCCTCCAGGGTGGGGACACGGCCCCCTCCTGGGCGCCCACCCTGTGACTCCGTGGCATTGTCCCCCATCGGCCCTGATTCTACCCCTTGGGGTGGGACAGAATAAGTCTCCCACCTCGGAGCCTTTCCGCGTTCGAGACGACGTTGCCCTGAATGCGCTTCTCCAGGGCGGGGGCTGTGATGGCCGTGTGGTCAGAGACCATCCGTGCGTGCAGGCTATACCATCTGAAATTGTACGTGTGCGTTTTCCGGGAGAAAGTCCTCATCAGCGAGGTCTGGGAGATAAGGTTTCACGCTCCAAACTGATGTAAGCATTCTAGATTCGCATCCCCCCTCATTTTACTGATGAGGGAAACTGAGGCCCAGACAGTAGAAGAAACTCCTCCCACGTTCACCTCACTAGTTGATGGCAGAGCCAGGTCCCCGAACTTGGACCCTGAAGGTTGTTCCTTTCCTCCCCCCGTCCTGTGGTGCCGGGTCCGGCAGACAGGGGACTCGCATGCTGGGTTCAGGTCCCCGGTGGCGACCGCCTGAGCTGGCAGCAGGCAGAGCAGTGCTGCCCACACCCCTGCCCCGCCCCACCAGAGACACAGCCGCCCCTCCACGGTGGGCGCACCACGCTGGTGGGCACACGCCGGGCACCTGGCCTGTCCGGCGAGGCCTCCCCGGCCTTCCCCAGAAGGTGGCGCCAGCCTCCCCCTTCGGGAGCCGCGGTTCCTGAACACCCGCTGGCTGGCTGGCTGGCTTTTAGTCAGCCAGTGAGGCTGCCGCATCGGTGACAGAGCCCAGTCAAACCCTGTGAACTCAAAACACGCAGTCCAAATTTTGACAGGCTCTGTGCTCTCAAAGAAACCTTATCTTTAAGCAAACATTCATCAATATTCTGAGTAATGATCTCATTTTTAAAAAAGTTAGATAAGGAAATTATGCTTTTCCTAGCTAGACACTGTTATTTCACTAACTTTGAAAAAGCAGAATTCCTGTGTTCCCTACCAGACTGCAGCAAAGTCAGCAGAACTAGAACAGTCTTGGTCACTTGGGGTAGATGACAGCCCAGAAGGCTGCCTGATCCCCCTTGCTCTCATCAGCATCCCTGCCCCCTTGGAAAACATCTTTGCCGCCTCTGGCCACCTTGTCTGCTAGACAGTACTGTCCTCCTTCCTCTCTGCTGCCCGTGTTTACTTTTGCTCTCTGTTTGCTTACACTTATAATCTTTGCTTCTTATGTTACACAGAACACAGGGGCAAAACCTAAAGTTCACCCTGAATCAGGCAGCAGGCCAGCCGCTGGGAGCTTGGCATGTAGAGGGAAGTTGAGAACGCCGACCCGCCTTGCCAAAAACAGCATCTGTCTTGGGAAACTTGTTCTAACCTCAGTGAAAGAGGGGGCCTCAGATGGGCCTTCTTAAAGCGCAGCTTCTGGCATTTTCTTTTCAGGCATTTTCAGAAAACCTACATTTGATTAAATGCTTCCTGCAAGCGACGTCAAGAATTTGTGGAGTTTTATGTGACAAAGTTCTCCCTGGGTTTGGGTTTCAGCTCAGCAGACCTGAGAAGGTCTGTTTCCCAGCAGCTCCCTGCGGGGTAACTCCTGTGACCTGGATGATAGCAGAGCGTGGTGAGGTTGGGGGGAGGAGGGGACCCCTCGTGTTAGAGTCTCGCTGTGAACCTGGCCATTTATTTCCCTGAGAGGCGCCGGGAGGTTTCTAGTTTGCTCCTCTCAAGACTTAAGTGGTGGTGCTGGGACTTGAACCCCAGTCTGTCTCCCAGGCCAGTGTCTTCCCGCCCACTGAGCTGTGCCCACCTCCTGGTGGTCTCCTGAATTCCCCTACATCAGTGTTTTCCAACTTGAATATTGTCTATGAAATCATCCAGTATTTCATTTCATTTTTTTTTTCCATGTTTAAAAACTAAGACCTCAGGTTTCGTCAGTTAGTTACTATCACTCAGCTTTCTGACCAGTATGTTGTGACACCTGTAACAGTGGTTTCTTACAGTAGAAGGGCATTGGTGTCCCACTGCAGGACCCGATTGGAGAAGGGACGGGCCCCCTCTTCCACCATCTGCCTAGCTGTGTGTAACACGCCAGACGCCTGGCTCTGCCAGGTCCGCCGTGGACTGACCACACTCTCAGGGACATGCCTGAGCTCAGGAGGAAGCACAGCACTTCATCTAGTAATTGTTGCGTGATGGAGCCCTTCTAAGCAATATGCTGTCCCTCTCCAAACAAACTGATCACTGAGCATTTAAATACACACACACACACACACACACGCACACACACTGTGGGGAAATGAGTTGGACAGACACTGAGCACCTAGTGCATGATGCTGGACACTGCTGGGCATGGGGACAGAAGGGTGGCCAACATGGGAGCTTGCCTTCAAGGAGCCCTTAGTCTAGTGGGGAGACGGTGTCAGCAGAGCAATGAAGTGCAGTGATCAGGGTGCCCCGGGGGTTCCGTGGGGGTGAGGGGGACCTGCCCGGCCAGGTCACTAGCACAAGTGAGCAACTTTCAGGAAGAGTGAAGGGAGCTGGTGGGGCCCCACAGCGGCTGGCGGGGTGCATCTTTGCCTAGTGTTCCTGCACAGGCCTCGTTTCCTTGCGTGCCTGGTCATCGGGGTGGCCCTTTGGAGTGAGTATTGGACCGGGCAGACCCCTGGGCGTAGGCCCTGGGCCTCTGGACCGAGCCCTGGAGCCTTGCGGGGCACCTCAGTGGCCCAGCCCCACTTCTCTGCTGTTCCTCCACCAAGGCCGAGCTCGGAGCCCCACGGGCTCTGCAGCTACAGTCGTTGCCGTGTCATCTTTCTTAATCCAGATAGCTGTAAAAGTAGGTGTTTTGTTAATCCCCGCTATGGAATTTTTAAAAATTGAGGCTCCTCTTGGTAGAGGAATGAACTGAGGTGCGTCTGCTGTGCTGCTCTCAAGAGGCTGAGCGTGTGCCTGTCTGACTCTGCCCTTCTTGGGGTGAGAGGTTAAAGGTCATGTAGGCACAGCAGACTCTCTGCTGTCAGGGGACCTGAGTGGGACAAACCGCAGTTCGTAGGCGACGGAGTTGGCAGGAGAAACATCACGATGGGCTTCCTTTAGTCTCATTTCCGTGTGTGTGTGTGTGTGTGTGTGTGTGTGTGTGTGTGTGTGTGTGTGTCTGTATATATGTGTGTGTCTGTATATATGTGTGTATATATGTGTGTATGTATATGTGTCTTTATATATGTGTGTATATGTGTATGTGTGTGTGTCTTGTGTGTGTGTCATGTGTATATATCTGTGTGTGTATATCTATGTGTCTGTATATGTGTGTCTCTGTGTGTGTATTGTGTATATGTGTGTCTGTGTATATGTGTGTATATATCTGTGTCTGTGTATATGTGTGTGTATATCTGTGTATGTGTGTGTGTGTGCTGTGTATGTGTCTGTATGTGTGTGTATATCTGTGTGTATGTGTGTGTATATCTGTGTCTGTGTATATCTGTGTGTATGTGTGTGTCTGTATGTGTGTGTATATCTGTGTCTGTGTATATGTGTGTGTATGTGTGTGTCTGTATGTGTGTGTATATGTGTGTATGTGTGTGTATATCTGTGTGTGTGTGTATGTGTGTGTGTATGTGTGGGTATGTATATGTGTGGGTATGTGTGGGGGGGTATATGTGTGTGGTGTATGTATATGTGTGTGTCTGTGTGTATATGTGTGTGTGTATGTTTGTGTCTGTGTATATGTGTGTGTATATGTGTGTGTCTGTATATGTGTGTGTGTATGTATATATGTGTGTCTGTGTATGTGTGTGTCTATGTGTGTCTGTGTGTATGTGTGTGCATGTGAGTGTGTGCATGTGAGTGTGTATGTGTGTATGTATATGTGTTTCTGTGTGTGTATATATATGTGTGTGTCTGTGTGTATATGTGTGTGTGTCTGTATGTGTGTGTGTCTGTGTGTGTGTATATATATCTGTGTGTGTCTGTGTGTATATGTGTGTATATATGTGTATGTGTGTGTCTGGGTATGTGTGTGTGTCTGTGTGTATGTATATGTGCGTGTGTCTGTGTGTGTATCTATATGTGTGTGTATGTGTGTGTATGATATGTGTGTCTGTGTGTATATGTGTATGTGTGAGTGTGTATATGTGTGTGTGTGTATGTCTGTGTGTCTGTGTCTGTGTGTGTATGTCTGTGTGTCTGTGTCTGTGTGTGTGTGTGTGTCTGCGTGTGTGTGTTTGTGTGGGGAGTGAGAGGCCCTGAGCATGACTGGTGACTAGTGACCGCTTGCTGGTGGGGCTGGAGCCTTAGGAGCCCCGTGGGCCACCAGAGAAGCCTCCTGCTTCCTGTCCCTCACCAGCCACCTCCTGAGCCTTTGCCTCCTCCTGTGCCCGCCCCACGTGGACCAGCCGGCCCTGACAGGCCCTGAGCTCAGCTCAGCTGCTGCCACACAGGAGTGCGCGAACACACACAGCACAGATGGAGCGGGGGGAGGGCAGTAGGGGAAGACGGCCCAGGCTGTCAGGTTTCTAAGGTCCTTAGGAGCCGGAGGGTAGGACACGGCTCTTCTGGAGTATGGTGCCCCCTACGGCCAGCCCACCCGGCTGACGCTGTTGGAGCGAAAGCGCAGCCGGGCCGGGGCCGGGGGCCGCCCAGCGCGGAGCGATGCGAGCCTGTCCCTGGGCCTGTGAACTCGGGCGGCAGTGCTGTCTGGTGTGGCTGGAGCTCACCCACGCACGGGCCGTGTTTCAGGTGGTGAGGGCTGCCGAGGAGGCCGCCTCCACGCTGGCAAGCTCCATCCACCCGGAGCAGTGCATCAAAGTGCTGTGCCCCATCATCCAGACGGCCGACTACCCCATCAACCTGGCCGCCATCAAGATGCAGACCAAAGTCGTCGAGAGGATCGCCAAGGAGGCCTTGCTGCAGCTCCTCGCGGACATCATCCCGGGCCTGCTGCAGGTGGGCCCCCGAGGGGTGGGCGGGACAACCGGGCGGTGCAGCCCCTGCCTCTTCTGGCCCACCCTCTGCTGAACGCACAGGAAGATCTTCCTGGCAGCCCAGGCCTGTGGCTCACAGAAGGAACTTTACTGTGAACATGTTTTGATCTTTCTTTGTTGTTCCTTCCTTACTGCACGGCAGTGGGCCCAGCCCTGGGCAGGGTGGGCCGTGGAGCCCAGCATCAAACAGTGGTCCTGGCTCTCATCCGTCCAGCTAATATTAATTGAAAACCCTCGTGAGCATGAGGCGTTGAATTAAGTAGACTCCGGAAGACGAGGTGTTTTCCACTGTTGGGACCCTACCTCACGGGGTCTCCAGCCCGCTCCAGGACCCAGTACAGCCGTACAGACGGCCGTGGGTGAGGGCGGGTGCCGTGTGCTGAGTTGCTGCCACGGGGGTGCAGGTAGGGGTTTCTGAGATCGGGGTGGGGGCTGACCTCTGGGTTGGGGTGTCAGAGACGGGCTCAGAGAAGAAGTGGTTTAGAGTTGGGCCCTAGGGAGAGATTTCAGTGGGGAAGGGTAGAGAGACATCAGCTTTACACTTAATAAATGCTGCTGTTTGCTGAGTGCTGGGCTCAGAAATTTAAACACATACAGCCGGGCACTGGCTTTTTCTCCAGGCAGAGGAAAAGCAGAAAGGTCCAGAGGGCTGTTCGGAGGAGAGCAGACAGTCCCACCTGGGTGTGGGGTGGGGGGAGGCCCACAGGCAGGTTGTGGTCCAGCTGGAGAAGGATGCGGAGGTCTGGCTGCGGGCGGATGTTCCCTGCAGTCCGTGGACAGTGGAGTTTTGCCCACAAGAGTGAGCGACGTGGTTCTCATTTCTTGAAAGGGGTTTGCACGTGTGAGGTTTGCTTTACCATGGCGAGAAATAGGAAAGAAGCCAGGTATTTTTCCCCTTAACTTCCTTTTCTCATTCTGTTCTCTCGTGACGTCTCTTGGCTGGTGCTGCCTGGCAGCTCGTGATACAGCATCTATCTGTGTGGAGGAGACCAGCTCGCCGGCCTCCAGCCTCCCACCCCGGAAGCCGCTCACTCTTTGGCACTCTTACATGTGGCCTCTCTGGGGCGAGAGCTCTCGGGGTTCACAGGCAGAGCTCAGGTGTATCCAGGCCGCTCCTGACAAGGTCGAGGTTGAACCGAGAGGGCATTTGTGGAAACGTTGATGAAATATTGACAGTCAGGCAAAGCTTTGATCTCGTTTCCTTTCTGTGTCCCTCTCTGACTGCAGGGTTACGACAACACCGAGAGCAGCGTGCGTAAGGCCAGCGTGTTTTGCTTAGTGGCGATTTATTCCGTAATCGGAGAAGAGTTGAAACCTCACCTGGCACAGCTCACAGGCAGCAAGGTGTGTATAGCGTTACACGGGCGGGTCGTACACCTGGGCCTGCTGGCGCATCGCAGACTTGCTGCCCTGCAGCTCTGGGCTCCGCACGGGCTTCCTCAGCACGTGCGTTCTAGCTGGGCCTTATTCTCCAGAGGCGTTTCTCTAAAGACGAAGTGACCGGCCGTTTAGTGAAGTCATTAAGGTACAACGTGGTCTGTCGTCGCTCCAGTTTTTGAAACGATAGCTTTGAACTTCTAGTTTATCCCAAAAAGGAAGATGACTGTCTTTAGAAACCAGCTTGTTTTCTCCCCCCGAAACACTAAGGACGTTTACCTGCTGGCTTCACACAAGGCTGGGGGGCTCCAGGTCCCTGTGGGGTGAGGACGGTGACCCTGCACGTGACCCGCCCGGGGGCCCACAGTGATCTCACTCTGGAAGCCGGGCTTTTTATTCCCTGGGCTGCCTCTCACCTTCCTTCTAGACTCAGGGCCAGAAAATGGGACAAAAGGACGATGGGCTCATGGAAGGTGACGGGGGCTGGAGTGCTTGTTGGTTGAAAAACAGACTCACATCTGATGAACTGCCAGGGGAGAGCAGGTGGCCACCCTCGAGCTCTGGCTGGAGAGGCCAGGGCCTGGGCCGCGGGGCCAACGTGTCACCGTGAAGTTACAGAGGCCCTGGGCAGGGGTGCAGATCCGCGAGCGCGAAGCCTGCAGCGCCTGGCCTTCCTCCTTAGAAAAGAAGGGAGCAGAGGTGACGCTCGTGGCTTCTCAGTAGGGCTGTTCCTTTGACACAGTTGGCGAGCATCACCGCTCACCGCGTTCTGGCTCTGCTGCCTTCGCCCGAGCAGGGCTCGCACCCTCAGCACTGCCGACACCTCGGGCCACTTCCTGGTGGAGGCGCCACCCCTGGGGTCCCAGGAGCGCACCCCACCCTCAATTGATGTCCCCACACCTGGCCAGGTGTCCTCTCGGGGCAGAATCAGCCCTGGTGGAGAACGACTGGTCCAGAAGGAGACACTTGACTCTTCCCGCAGACAGAAACCAGCAGCGGGGCTGGCAGGTGTGGAGGCCACTTCCCCTGATTCCACTTCCCGAGGTCCCCGTCCAGCCCTCCTGGCCATGGCCTGCAGGACCCTGAGCCGAGAGTGCCGAGCAGTGCGCTGGGCCGGGAGCCCCCCTCCCTCTGTGGCCGTCGTCGGGGGCCGTGGATGGTCCCTGGCAGCGGTGGGGATGGCACAGACAGTCTTCACAAAAGGAATTAGATTCGTAAAATGGGAAATTCACCCAAAAGTAATATTAGCCAGACCTCGGTTTTCTGGTACTTTCTACTCTCGTGAGTAAGGGAGCTGCCCTGCCATCTCATGTGCCCCCTCCAGCAAGGGGCTGAGGAAACGCAGGTGTCTTCTCGTCCCTGTCCTGCGGTTGACCTGCTGCCCCTTGCAGCGGTGGTCTCGGGTCTGGAGCCCAGTCCTCATTGGAGCCAGTATTCCCATCTCCCCGCTGATGATGTCAGTCGGCTCGGAGGGCTTGGGGAGGCTGGCTGCACAGCTGTCCACTGGGGCAGCGCAGAGCTTCCGGCCGTTACAGTTTTTATAGGTGAGAACTCTGGTGTGTTAACGTGAACCTGGTAGACTCCAGCGCACATCTCCTAAAACAAACACCCTCCCACCCAGCTCCCCAAAATGGGTAGCTGACAGCACATGGTGCTAAGTTAGAAACAGAGAATCAAGCCATGGCTTCCAGTTTCTGTGTGTCACCAAGCCTATCAGACTCTCCTTCCACTACTTAAATGAAGTTAATAAATGACATCAGGTTCTGCAGAGAAAGGCTGGTGCAAGGAACCTGTGAGGTGCCTTTGAGAAGTGTCCTGTTGCCATGGCAGCAGTACTGGCTTTAGGATCAGAAAACCTGTCCCCCGCTGACTAGCTGTATGACTTTGAGCAACCTTTCCTTTCTGCGCGTGCTCGCTCTCTCTCTCTCTCTCTCTCTCTCTCTCTCTCTCTCTCTCCCCCCCCCTCCCCCTCCCCCTCTCTCTCTCTCTCTCTGTAGAATACAGTAACATAAAATTTACTGTCTTAACCATTTGTAAGTGTACAGTTCACAGACACTAAGTACATTCATATTATGCATATTCATCACCACCATCCACCTCTTGAGCTCTTTGCACCTTGGAAAACTGAAATCCGTAATATTCCCCCTCCCCCCTGGCCCCTGGCAACCACCATTCTACTTTCTGTCTCTGTGAGTGTATAAGTGGAATCATACAGTATTTGTTTATTCGTGACTGGCTTATTTCACTGAGCATAATGTTCCTAGGTTCACCCATGTTGTAGCAGGTGTCAGAATTTCCTACTTATTTATTTTTGGCTGCGTTGGGTCTTCATTGCTGCACATGGGCTTTCTTTAGTTGAGGCGAGCGGGGTCTAGTCTTGGCTGTGGTGCGCGGGCTTCTCATTGCGGTGGCTTCTCTTGTTGCGGAGCGCAGGCTCCAGGCACACAGGCTTCAGTAGTTGTGGCACGCGGGCTCAGTAGTTGTGGCTCACGGGCTTAGTTGCTCTGCGGCATGTGGGATCTTCCCGGACCAGGGCTTGAACCCATGTCCCCTGCATTGGCAGGAGGGTTCTTAACCACTGTGCCACCAGGGAAGCCCCTTCCCTTCTTTTTAAGGCTGAATAACAGTTCATTGAATGTACATGCAGCATTTTGCTTATCCATTTCTTGGTAATGGCCTTGTGGGCTGTTTCCACTTGTTGGCTATTACGAGTAATGCTGCTATGAACATGGTGGTACAGATACCTCTCTGAGACCCCACTTTCAATTCTCTTGCGTATATATCCAGGAGTGGAGTTGCAGGATCATATGATAACTGCCAAACTGTTTGCCACAGCAGCTGCACCATTTCACATTCCCACCACCAACGCACAAGGGTTTCAGTTTCTCCACATCCTCGCCAGCACTTGTTATTTTCTCTTCTTTTTTGATAATAGCCATCCTCATGGGTGGTGTGAGGCGATATCTCAGTGTAGTTTTGATTTGCATCTCCCTAATGATTGGTAATGTTGAGCATCTTTTCATATGCTTGTTGGCCAGTTGTATATCTTCTTCAGTGAAATGTCTATTCAGGTCCTTTGCCCATTTTTGAATTATGTTTGTTTTTTTGTTATTGTTGAGTTATAGAAGTTCTCTCTATATTCTGGATATTAATCCCTTGACCTTTGATGCACAAAATGTTTTAGTTTTCGTGAAATCCAATTTGTCTATTATTTTTTTGCCTGTGCTTGTGGTGTCGTATTCAATAACCATTTCCAAACCCAGTGTTGCGAAGCTTTTGCCCTGTGTTTTCTTCTAACAATTTAAAAATTTTAGCTTTTAATGCAAGTCTCTGATCCATTTTGAGTTAATTTTTGTGTATGGTGTTAGGTAAGGGTCCAACTTCATTCTTTTGTGTGTGGATATTGTTTTTCCAATACCATTTGTTGAAAAGACCTTCTGTTTCTTCAGAGAACCTCATTGGAATTTTGATAGGGGTTTCATTGAATCTATAGATAGCTTTGAGTAGTATTGACATCCTAACAGTATTGACTTTCAATCCATGAACACAGGATGTCTTTTTTTTTTTTTTTAACCTCCATACTGTGATGAGTTGTTGTTTGTTTTTAGTTTTTTGTACTTTTTCTTTTCTTTTTTGCGGCATGCGGGCCTCTCACTGTTGTGGCCTCTCTCGTTGCGGAGCACAGGCTCCGGACACGCAGGCTCAACGGCCATGGCTCACAGGCTTAGCTGCTCCACGGCATGTGGGATCTTCCCGGACCAGGGATCGAACCTGTGTCCCCTGCATTGGCAGGCAGATTCTTAACCACTGCGCCACTGGGAAGCCCGGATTTTTCATTTTTAGTGTATAGAAATGCAGTTGAATTTTGCTCACTGATTTTGTATTCTGCTACTTTGCTGAATTCTTTTATTAGTCTTAATGTTTTTTTGTAGAATCTTTAGGATTTTATACCTGTGAGATCACAGTTGTCCCTTGGTATCCACTGGGATTGCCATAGATAACAAACTGTGCAGATGCTCAAGTCCCGTACCTGTGGTTCCACTTCTGTGTAGCCAACTGACCGCAGATGGTGTAGTGCTGTGTGTGTTGAAAAAAATTCCTGTATAAGTGGACCTGCACTGTTCAAACCTGTGTTGCTCAAGGGTAAACTGTATATCATCTATGAACAAAGATAATCTTGCTTCTTCCTTTCCAATGTGGATGCTTTTTGTTTTTCTTTTCCTGTCTAATTGCTCTGGCTGGAACTTACAGTACTATATTAATAGAAATGGTGAAAGTAGGCATCCTTGTTCCTCATCTTAAAGGAAAAGTTTTCAGTCTCTTACCGTCGAGCATAATGTTCACAGTGTGCTTTTCATATCTAGCTTTTGATACGTTGAGATACAGGCAGCCTCGGAGAGAGTGCGGATTCAGGTCCAGATCGCTGCAGTAAAGCGAATATTGCAATGAAACAAGTCACACAAATTTTTTGGTTTCCCGGTACGTATAAAAGTTATGTCTTTACTATACTGTAGTCTATTAAGTGTGCAATAGCATTCTGTCTAAAAAAAGTCAGTATACCTACCTTAATTTTAAAAAAAGTTATTGCTAAATAATGCTAGCCATCATCTGAGCTTCAGCGAGTCATAATCTTTTTGCTGGTGGAGGGTCTGGCCTCAGTGTTGATGCTGCTGACTGATCAGGGCAGTGACTGCTGAAGGTGAAGGTGGCCGCTGCAGTTTCCTAAAATAAGACAGCGGTGAAGTTTGCTGAATCGATCGACTCTTCACAGTTTCTCTGTTGCAGCAATGCTGTTTGATAGCATTTTACCCACAGTAGAATCTCTTTCAAAATCGGAGTCAGTCCTCTCGAACCTGCCACTGCTTTATCAAGTAAGTCTGTAATAATCTAAATCCTTGGTTGTCATTTCGCCAGTCTTCACAGCATCTTCACCAGGAGTCGATTCCATCTCAAGAAACCACTTTCAC